GTATCCTGATAGAAAGTCAAGAGTAGAGAAGAAAATATTGAAAAATTCATCCATCCTCCCTTTCTGATCCTATCCTATCCTTCCTTCGTATCCTTTCCTTCCTATCCTTCCTATCCTCTCCTATCATATCCTTTCTTCCTATTCTGTTCTATCCTATCCTTCTTTCTTATTCTATCCTATCGTTCCTTCCCATTCTAACCTATCCTACCTTCCTGTTTTATCCATCCATCTTATTCCGGATGACTCAGCTTATTCTGGATGACTCGGCTTATTCTGGATGACTCGGCTTATTTTAGATGACTGGGCTTAAAAAAGTCTGGATCTGGAGTCTGAAATTGAACTTCGTTCAATTTCCCAAGTCTAGTTTATTCTTCCCCCCTCTTTTTCTCCTACTTCCAACTACCTTTCAACTAGGTGCTACATAGTCCTACTAGGGACCTGGGCTGAACTTGGCAGGAAAGGAATTTTTATCTAGGTCAAAGTCAAAGGTCAAAATCTAGGTCAAATCTAAGTTTTTTTCAAGTTTCTCAAATCCTGACACTACACTTCAATATTTTTGGTTGAATTTTTGCATACAGATAGATATTAGTATTCTATTAGTCTTAGCCTTTTGCCGTCTAGAGAAATTTTGCCTAGATTTTGAGATATTGAAGGTCAAAAAAAGGTCAAAAAAGGTCTTTTTTCAACTTGCTTCAAATTGACCAATTTTTTTTTAAAACTCACCTACAAGTTCTCAGGATTCCAAATCTGACCTTACTTTTGACCTTTGACCTTTGGTTGACCTTCAGTGACCTCCGAAAGGTCCAAAAAGTTGATTTTTCAAATCAATTTTCTGGATTCAAATTTAGGTATATTTATTCACAAAAGACCTTCTGAGGTCTAAAAAAGTAAAATTTGCAAGGTCAAAGGTCAAGGTCATCAAACGAAATCACAAACTGTGTTTTCTAAGTTTCTCAAAATTGGAGACTACAAATCAATATTTTTTCATGAAAGTCAGGATATATATTCCTCTAAAGGTTCTACACATATTAGCAATTGACTATTTATTAAAATTTTGCTCCAGTTTTGAGATATTAGAACTCAAAAACTGAAAAAAGGTCAAATTTCGAAATTTTTCAAGGTCAAATTTCAACTTGCTCTAAATTGACCAAACTTTTTTTTAAAAAGCATCTACAAGATCTCAGGAACTCAAATCTGACCTTAGTTTTGACCTATGACCTTTAGTTGACCTTCAGTGACCTTCGAAAGGTCAAAAAAATTGATTTTTCAAATTTATTTTCTGGATTAAAATTTAGGTTTATTCAATCAGAAAAGATATACTGAGGTCTAAAAAAGTAAAATTTTCAAGGTCAAAGGTCAAGGTCATCAAACAAGATCACAAACTGTGTTTTCTAAGTTTCTCAAAGTTTGTGACTACAAATCAATATTTTTGAATTAAAGTCAGCATATATATTCCTCTAAAGGTTTTACACATATTAACAATTGATTATCTATCAAAATTCTGCACCAGTTTTGAGATTTTGGACCTCAAAAACTGAAAAAGGTCTAATGTTGAAATTTTTCAAGGTCAAATTTCACATTGCTTCAAATTGACCAAACTTTTTTTTAAAACTCATCTACAAGTTCTCAGGATTCCAAATCTAACCTTACTTTGGCCTTTGACCTTTGGTTGACCTTCAGTGACCTCCGAAAGGTCAAAAAAGTTGATTTTTCAAATCGATTTTCTGGATTCAAATTTAGGTATATTTATTCACAAAAGACCTTCTGAGGTCTAAAAAAGTAAAATTTGCAAGGTCAAAGGTCAAGGTCATCAAACGAAATCACAAACTGTGTTTTCTAAGTTTCTCAAAATTGGAGACTACAAATCAATATTTTTAAATGAAAGTCGAATATATATTCCCCTTCTAAAGGTTCTACACATATTAGCAATTGATTATCTATCAAAATTTGGCTCCAGTTTTGAGATATTATAGCTCAAAAACTGAAAAAAGGTCAAATTTCGGAATTTTTCAAGGTCAAATTTCAACTTGCATTAATTCGACCAAACCTTTTTTAAAAATCATCTACAAGTTGTCTGGAGTTCATATATGACCTTGTATTAGAGATTTGACCTTTGGCTGGCCTTTGAATGTTCAGAAACGAATATAGGGCCTCCGTAAGATTGCTTGCAATCTTAGATCGTTAGATCTCTAGTTCTTTATTATTTATTCTTCCTCCCTCTTTTTCTCCTACTTCCAACTACCTTTCAACTAGGTACTACATGGTCCTACTAGGGACCTGGGCTGAACTTGGTGGGAAAGGAATTTTTATCTAGGTCAAGGTCAAAGGTCAAAATCTAGGTCAAATCTAAGTTTTTTTCAAGTTTCTCAAATCCTGACACTACACTTAAATATTTTTGGCTGAATTTTTGCACACAGATAGATATTAGTATTCTATTAGTCTTAGCCTTTTGCCGTCTAGAGAAATTTTGCCTAGATTTTGAGATATTGAAGGTCAAAAAAAGGTCAAAAAAGGTCTTTTTTCAACTTGCTTCAAATTGACCAAATTTTTTTTAAAACTCATCTACAAGTTCTCAGGATTCCAAATCTGACCTTACTTTTGACCTTTGACCTTTGGTTGACCTTCAGTGACCCCCGAAAGGTCAAAAAAGTTGATTTTTCAAATCGATTTTCTGGATTCAAATTTAGGTATATTTATTCACAAAAGATCTTCTGAGGTCTAAAAAAGTAAAATTTGCAAGGTCAAAGGTCAAGGTCATCAAACGAAATCACAAACTGTGTTTTCTAAGTTTCTCAAAATTGGAGACTACAAATCAATTTTTTTACTGAAAGTCAGAATATATATTCCTCTAAAGGTTCTACACATATTAGCAATTGACTATTTATTAAAATTTTGCTCCAGTTTTGAGATATTAGAACTCAAAAACTGAAAAAAGGTCAAATTTCAAAATTTTTCAAGGTCAAATTTCAACTTGCTCTAAATTGACCAAACTTTTTTTTAAAAATGCATCTACAAGATCTCAGGAACTCAAATCTGACCTTAGTTTTGAACTATGACCTTTAGTTGACCTTCAGTGACCTTCGAAATGTCAAAAAAGTTAATTTTTCAAATTGATTTTCTGGATTCAAATTTAGGTTTCTTCAATCAGAAAAGATATACTGAGGTCTAAAAAAGTAAAACCTGTAAGGTCAAAGGTCAAGGTCATCAAACAAGATCACAAACTGTGTTTTCTAAGTTTCTCAAAGTTTGTGACTACAAATCAATATTTTTGAATTTAAGTCAGGATATATATTCCTCTAAAGGTTTTACACATAATAACAATTGATTATCTATTAAAATTCTGCACCAGTTGTGAGATATTGGACCTCAAAAACTGAAAAAGGTCTAATGTTGAAATTTTTCAAGGTCAAATTTCACATTGCTTCAAATTGACCAAACTTTTTTTTAAAAATCATCTACAAGATGCCTGGAGTTCATATATGTCCTTGTATTTAAGATTTGACCTTTGGCTGACCTTTAAATGTTCAAAAAAGCCTACGGGGCCTCCGTAAGATTGCTTGCAATCTTCTAGTTATTATTTATTCTTCCTAAACCTTTTACTCCTACTTCCAACTACCTTTCAACTATCTACTATATGCACCTACTAGATACCTTGGCTGAACTTGGCGGGAAAGGAATTTTTATCTAGGTCAAGGTCAAAGGTCAAAATCAAGGTCAAATCTAAGTTTTTTTCAAGTTTCTTAAATCCTGACACTACACTTCAATATTTTTGGCTGAATTTTTGCATACAGATAGATATTAGTATTCTATTAGTCTTAGCCTTTTGCCGTCTAGAGAAATTTTGCCTAGATTTTGAGATATTGAAGGTCAAAAAAGGTCAAAAAAGGCCTTTTTTGAACTTGCTTCAAATTGACCAAATTTTTTTTTCAAACTCATCTACAAGTTGTCAGGATTCTAAATCTGACCTTACTTTTGACCTTTGACCTTTGGTTGACCTTCAGTGACCTCCTAAAGGTCAAAAAAGTTGATTTTTCAAATCGATTTTCTGGATTCAAATTTAGGTATATTTATTCACAAAAGACCTACTGAGGTCTAAAAAAGTAAAATTTGCAAGGTCAAAGGTCAAGGTCATCAAAAGAAATCACAAACTGTGTTTTCTAAGTTTCTCAAAATTGGAGACTACAAATCAATTTTTTTTACTGAAAGTCAGAATATATATTCCTCTAAAGGTTCTACACATATTAGCAATTGACTATTTATTAAAATTTTGCTCCAGTTTTGAGATATTAGAACTCAAAAACTGAAAAAAGGTCAAATTGCGAAATTTTTCAAGGTCAAATTTCAACTTGCTCTAAATTGACCAAACTTTTTTTTAAAAAGCATCTACAAGATCTCAGGAACTCAAATCTGACCTTAGTTTTGACCTATGACCTTTAGTTGACCTTCAGTGACTTTCGAAAGGTCAAAAAAGTTTATTTTTCAAATTGATTTTCTTGATTCAAATTTAGATTTATTCAATCAGAAAAGATATACTGAGGTCTAAAAAAGTAAAATTTTCAAGGTCAAAGGTCAAGGTCATCAAACAAGATCACAAACTGTGTTTTCTAAGTTTCTCAAAGTTTGTGACTACAAATCAATATTTTTGAATTAAAGTCAGGATATATATTCCTCTAAAGGTTTTACACATATTAACATTTGATTATTTATTAAAATTCTGCACCAGTTTTGAGATATTGGACCTCAAAAACTGAAAAAGGTCTAATGTTATAATTTTTCAAGGTCAAATTTCACATTGCTTTAAACTGACCAAACTTTTTTTTTAAATCATCTACAAGATGCCTGGAGTTCATATATGACCTTGTATTTAAGATTTGACCTTTGGCTGACCTTTAAATGTTCAAAAAAGCCTACGGGGCCTCCGTAAGATTGCTTGCAATCTTATACATCTAGTTTATGATAGAAACTTTCCAAGTTCATGAACATTTTAACGTTTAATTTACCTTTAAGTCTTCTTCCAGCCATTTGTACTGGTTTACAATCTGCATCCAGCCATACTGTACATAATAGTAGACCTCTGTAGAGAATGATATGATGTGAACTGGACCTATATCAAAACTAAAAATGATATCAACTATTAGTTCATTGTAATGATTTAGTTATAGTACATGTAAAGCAGAGTGGATTGATTTTTGGATATGTGTGCACATGACAGACAGCATTCTGCAAAAAAGTATAAATGTACAGGTTTTCAAGCAGCAACAAAATGATAGGTGCAAAATCTGACGATGGGGCAACCGAGCTTGAAGAGAAACAGCTTAGAAATACAATGCTTACTGAATAAAGTAATAAAAAGATACCTAAGATAGTTGCCATGTATGCCATCAATTTTCTCAGTGTAACAATATTTAGCAATTCAATGTACAACATTGCACTTTGACCAGATCATTGTTTTAAGTTTCACAATAATGCAGCATAAAATGTCACTTTACCTGAAGAATAATCCGTCTCCATCTCCACCTGGCATTGTGAACCTTTTGCGATAGTTGGAGAAATTACTTGAATCACAATGAAAATGATTAGGTTTAAATGTTTTTCTATGCATAGAATTCTTACTGACAGAAAAATACATACTAAGTTACAAATGTTTGAACTTCAAGACTGAAAAGTACCTTGTTGTACTTACTAAGCATTCTCGTGATTGCCAACACAGGTCATGTAAGGTACATAGGCAGCTATAGGCTCAATCTGTCTCATAAACTCATCCCCTGTCCTTGCATTATCCTACAACAAACATAGACAAGGAATAGATTAGAGATCAGCCTCATAGTTCACACTTCACAACCAGAGTCAAATGATACTCTATGGACTAGAAAAGAGCATAAATAACTTCACAGTCCCAACACAGCTAAATAAATACATAATAATATATAAAAATCATCAAAAGACTATTTGGTATATGATACACCAATTAAGCAAACCTTCCCTGAACTTGGCCTATACAATACATGTAATTAAATTAATAGAAGAACTGTGGTATGAAGAACAAAAGAGAGCAAATATAGTTTATATTCCATTGTGTTTAGTGTGTGGTCAATCCCAAAAATTATTGGTCAAAAGAGAACTGTTTTTTATCCAATCACCAGTTCATAAAACAAAATTGATGTTTTGATCAATAAAGCCTATGTAAACCGAATGCTACTGGGACTGGTCAAAAGTGTTCAGATTGGCAGGTGTTCACATTTCAGTTGTTTTTTAAATGAAAATATGGAAGATTTAAAAAATGTGTTCAAATTGGAAAGGTATTCGGATATTATTCAGGATTTCCTGAACTGAGTTGGCATTATTTTTACAGCAAGTACATGTAAAGCACAGATGAGACAATACACCACTTGGTGACATACACTGCTTGATCATATTCACCTCAAGTATTAGAGAGAGAATGGACATTTTAAACCTTTAGCATCTCTTATAGATAAGGTACAGCAGAAAAATTGATTTTATTTTATTCATGATATGCATTCACCACTCTTCTCAATTAGATGCAATTTTTAACTGGGTGCAATGTTTTAATTAGCTTCAATGTTGAGAGAGCATTTTCAAATAGGGGTTATAAAAAGTACAATACTCACAGTGTCCATGTTGTAGGCAAAGTCACCCACATGTAAAATTGCATCAATGTTTCCATCCTGGGCTTCCTGCTGCAACCAACTTACAGACTTGGCATTTGTATTGCCCATATCTCCATATAAGGCAAATCGTGGGGACCAGTTTGTTCCACTCTGCATGGCAGTAAATGAATACATGTCACTCCACCCAAGTTCACTGCCACACCTATATTCTGTAATGTACAGGTATTAAAAATGGAGGTCACAAAGCATGGACAACTGTAAATGCAATGAATATGTTGGTATAATTAATGACATAAGGATTATGTTAAGGGGGTGGGGTGGATATGGGGTGTTTCCTGTGGTAAGATATCATATTTCATCAGGGAATATAACATCATATGCCAAACCAAGCACAACATAGCTTATCTATCCAATGACTTGTGATTTTTAAACTATAAAACATTCAGTCTACTTATATTATTATATAGATAAATTGAGATTTTCAAATGAGCTACACATATTAACTAACATTCCTGTTTGTTGTATTATGAATCAACAAATCTGCTATAGTTTTAAACACTGTTTCTTCAATGAATGTAAACTTGTCTTCCTGGAATATTGAAGTCGGAAATGTTCAGCAGGAGATATATGATATGGATATTTATGTGCCCAGCTTCAGCAAGATATTATTTCCAAATTCTGCTATGTATGTGAAACCTCACTAGTCAAAGGATAAAGTGCATATTCAACTAGTATTACTGTATTTGTTACAAATGGATAAGAAAATAATAGTCTTACTGTATGACATCCCTGGAGTTAAATGAAAGAGCGTCACTCTATGAATATAGAATAATCTTGCTTCTGAACCTCCATCCTTGAAGAGCTCCTGTTTACCAATAATAGCCTGTGTTGGCTTTGCAATGCCAAATTGTACAATACTGGAGTTGGTAGCAGATTGGGTCACCCAGGTCACTACCATTTCTGTAGGATTACCTATAAATAAACACACAAGGATCATCTTGACTAATCCAAAGTACTCTACATTCTGGCTTCTTTCCAAAGAGAGACAATTGTGGTGTGGGTGGGAATGGTAAAGTCCACTATGACTGAACTGTTTCAACTCCATATACTTGCAAATACAAATAAAAAATGTCAAAACACCAAATATCAAGGCTCTGAACTTCATGCTAGTCTAACTTTATTCTATCAGTTATCCCCAGGGCTGTCAACTTGGGACCATCTAACATGAGTGACTTCCAAATTTTGAACACCTTCCTTCAAACTTTGGACAGCTTCAGTGAACACTGGTAGATTTTGGACACCTCAAATTTTTCCAGCTTGCTTACACTCGCTCTTCAACGAGCGGGGAGGGGGTGGGTGGTAGGTGTTAATATTTTCGAAACAAATGCGTGATATATACACATATTTTGAATTTAGTACTTTTTTAACTTCTTAATTTTGGATAGATTTGATGTGTGAGGGTAGATCGAAACTATCAAAAATATGGAGTCATCATGCCGTTCCGCCATTTTGAAACCTGTCACGGGTAAATAAGGTTAACTGATGTTGCATTCTGGGAGTCAATCCTCCTTGGATCACAAACATGGCGATTCATGAAAACATTCGTTTGATTTGGTAGGAATTTATCCATCATTTGCAGGTATGAAACTTTGGATTCATTTATTGTGCTACTAAAGTGAACGGGAATTATTTTTCTACCACTTGGGACAGCTTGAGACACGAAACTTAGAATTTAGCTCATTGTGACAACTTATGATGGTTGAGGTTTATTAATGTTTCCGACTTTAGGCTAATAGAAAGGTTAAGTTTCACGTTGATATTAATCTAGACTAGAGTCCATTTCACTGCTTCATTTCGTCAGTAGAACGGCAAAAATAAGAAATTGGGAGACCATTGTGCAATAATATATGTGAAACTATATTCCTATTGTACATGGATGACATTTGTATATCTTGGATTGCTTCTAGTTTGGCTAAAAAATCTGACTCTAGAGTCCATTTCACTGCTTCATTTCGTCAGTAGAACGGCAAATATAAGAAATTGGGAGACTATTGTGCAATAATATATGGAAAAGTATATTTATAATGTACATGAATGACATTTGTATATTTCAGATTTTTTAGTTTTTTGTGCAATAAGCCTGTGCCGTCTTGTAATTTGAAGAATTTCAGCCATGTTAATCTTATTGAAAATAACATGGCAGAGAAACATCCAAATATAAGAGGCCACACACTTTATAAGCCAAACTAGAAGCAATCCAAGATATACAAATGTCATTCATGTACATTATGAATATACTTTTCCATATATTATTGCACAATGGTGCCAATCACCCAAATACTCTAACCCAACCAGAGCAGAGATTATATCACAATCAAGCTACCATGAACCAGCAACTCAAACCTCAAAACATCGGAGCAGTACACCAAAACCAGGTACATTCAATACCAGTGAGCAGCCAACCCACAACAACAATAGAAGGGAAGACAACCCTAGACACCCACCAGTGTCAACGTATGAAGAGCCAATAAACCATCAACATTGACTAGACAACAAAACTGTACATAGTGTAGATAATGTAAATAATGTAAATGACCCGCCTGTAAATAGGATAAAAAATACAAGACAAGAAAATGAAATCTCTAGTAAACCTAGTCTTAAAGTATTGTACACTAATTGTGACTCACTAATGAACAAGAAAAATGAGCTCAAATTAGTAGTAGACACAGAAGAGCCGGATGTAATAGCTCTCACAGAAATTAAACCAAAGAATTTAAGAGACCCCTTGATGGAATGTGAAATCAAAATCGATTCATATGAATGCTACCACAATATAACTACTGAAAATACAAGAGGCACTGCCATCTATGTAAAATCAAATCTACAATGTTCCCAAATCCAAGTACAAGACAAAAGCAACGAAGCAATATGGATAAGCATTGGATCGGATAGGAACAAAGCCACAATAGGGTGTCTATATAGAAGCCCAAATAGTACACAGGACAACTCCACCAATCTACTAGGTCAGATAAGTACAATATGCAGTCAGAATCCAAGATACCTACTGATATTAGGTGATTTTAACCTACCAACAATTGACTGGGAACTAAAAATGATAAAACCAGGAACGAACCATGACACCGCCCAATGCCTCATTGATGTAATAGATGACAACTACCTAATACAACATCAACTGACTCCAACAAGATTCAGAGATGGACAAGTACCAAGCCTACTCGACCTTATAATCACAAACGAAGAAGACACAATATACAACAACAAAACAGCCTCTCCTATTGGAAAGAGTGATCATTGCATACTGACCATGGAGATGAACTGCGGGGCAAAATACATTCCACCCACCAAACCAATACAGCTCATAGACAAAGCCAACTTTACAGCAATGAAAGAAGATCTCGATATAGACTGGAAACTTCTCTTCCAAGAGAAAAATACAGAGGAATGCTGGAACATCTTCAAAAATAAATTAGAAGAAACATCTGAAAAAAACATACCTACAATTATCCCAAACAAAAGAAAATCACCCTGGATGAACAGGGACTGTCTTAAGTCAATTAGAACAAAAAGGAGAGCCTTCAATAAAATGAAACGTAAATCCAAATATGGAACACTAACAGAGCATGACAAAATGACATACAAAAAAGCAAGCAAACAAGCAAAATCTGAAATAAGGAAATCAATACGGAAGTATGAGAAGAAGATAGCCAAAGCTGCCAAATCTAACCCAAAGCTCTTCTGGAAATATGCAAATCATCAGACAAAATCAAGGAATGGAATACCAGACTTAGATAAAGGTGATGGCACTAAGACAGATTCAGATGAGCAGAAGGCTAATATACTAAATGATTTTTTCTCTGGAGTATTTACCAATGAGGACGTAGAGAACATACCATCAATGGACTTCATATATATTGGATCCTACATAGATGAATGGACAGTGTCAGAAGAAGATGTAAAACTACAACTAGAAACAACTAAAACCAACAAATCACCAGGGCCTGATAACATAAGCGGACGAATCCTGAAGGAGTTAGCTGATGTATTAACCCAACCCATCTACCTCCTCTTCACCAAGTCAGTCGACGAAGGTTACTTGCATATGGACTGGAGAAGAGCCAATATCACACCCATATTCAAGAAAGGCACCAGTTCCTCCCCTACAAACTACCGCCCAGTTAGCCTTACCAGCACGGTATGCAAAATTCTTGAGAGCATAATACGCCCACAACTACTCCAACATCTACAGAGCAACAAGCTACTAACAACTACACAACATGGATTCCTTCCCAATAGATCCTGCTCAACTAATCTACTAGCCATGCTTGAGAACTGGTCTAAGATCATCGACACAGGGGGCGCTGTAGACGCAATATATATGGATTACGCGAAAGCGTTTGATTCCGTCCCCCATCAGCGCCTGCTCTCCAAGCTTAAAACATTAGGAATAAGAGGCAAAGCTCTTAAGTGGATGTCCTCCTTCGTAACAGAAAGACAACAGAGGGTAGTTCTGAATGGTAAAGCAGCCCCGTGGACCCACGTAGGCTCTGGTATAGCTCAGGGAAGTGTGCTCGGGCCGCTTCTCTATGTCCTCTACGTAAACGACATGCCAGACACAATAAAACATAGCAATATCACTCTATTTGCCGACGACACCAAACTATACAGGATAGTGAAGGATCCAGCAGATAGAAATATGCTCCAACACGACCTTGACTCAATCCAGGACTGGGCCAAAAAGTGGAACCTAAAGTTCAATGCACAAAAATGTTCAGTTTTACACATAGGCAGAACCAACAAGGCCATGAGTTACAATATGAAAGACATAAACACAGGAGAAGAAATCCCCCTAAACAACTCTACCTGTGAAAGAGACTTGGGGGTCTTTATAGACTCTAACCTGAATTTCAACCAACACATCAGTAAAATAGTGAACAAAGCCAACCAAGCTGTAGGGATGATCAAGAGGACATACGTATACTGGGACCTTGAATCTTTTAAGCTTCTCTTCAATGGACTTATAAGACCAAAATTAGAATTTGCAAACTCAGTCTGGAATCCATTCACCAAGAAAAACATAGAACTTATTGAAAATGTGCAAAGAAGAGCTACACGTATTATCCCATCCCTGAGAGAACTATCGTATCCAGAAAGGCTCAGAACTTTAGATCTAACAACCCTAGCCTATAGGAGACTTAGAGGCGACATAATAGAAACTTTCAAGTATATGAACAACTTATATGATGTGAATAGCCTAGACATATTCCCAATCCAACAGAATAGAAACACAGGACCAACACTAAGAAGAGCAAACACACAGATGCTCAGAAAATTCCACTGCTCAACGACAAACAGACAAAACACCTTCAGCCAGCGAGTGATAAGACAATGGAATGCACTCCCTGAATTCGTAATTAGGGCTGATAATACCAACACTTTCAAAAACAGGCTAGACAAACACTGGATGGATCATCCAATGAAATTAGACCACAACATTGATTATGGCTATGTACATAGGTAGTTGGGGAAACTTGACTTTTTAACTTTTTATGCAACAATCTAAGGACAATGAGGTCCTTGCAATGATCGATTAACAGGCAAGCATGCCTATTAATCGTAATTCACTTATAATCTTATAATCTTATAATCCCAATTTCTTATTTTTGCCGTTCTACTGACGAACTGAAGCAGTGAAATGGACTCTACATATTTTGGCCTGTAGTGTATGCTAAGAGTGTATCACAATTTAAAATACAAATCTAACTGTTGAAGATGATTAAATAGAACAATGGTTGCATGTGAACGTGACTTTTTCAATTTTTGCCTTGGCAATTTTTCAAATCAGATAAGTTATGTCATTGTCAGAGAATGATCTTGTGATCCACTTTCAGAATCTGATGATAAAAGTGTGTAGATCATACAAAAACTAGAGAAAGTAAGGTTTACCTGCATATGATAGATGAACTTGCTCTGGTTGAGGAAAAAATGGTTGTCCAATGACTACATTCGTCACAAAACTCAAAACAACGAAGAGAAAAATAATTTCCATTTTTGTTTTTCTGCTGCATTACAAATGCGAACAGAAAATGCGCTAGAAATGCGAACGTATGTATAATATATGTTAGTTTCAGAAAATACACCCAGGCCTTATACGACATCTATCAATACATAGGTAAAGTAAATACATTTTTTTAATCAATAAGGATAAGGACTCCTGCATTTTATTTGTATTTTAGATTGGCATCCAGACTTTTAGATCAAATATAGAGACATATTCATAACAACTAACAACTAAATCAATTAGAGCGTAATTATCTATCTACATCTACATCAATAATCCCAAGGCTAATAAGCCCATTTAAAGCAGATATATAATTTAACAGTGAGAGAATTTGAATATAATACAATATATAAATGATATAAACCTAACATTTGAAAAATAGATCTATGGTATACAACTCATTTTAAAATGACTACTACAGGTCCGTAGCCAGGATTTTCCAAGGCGGGGTTCACTTTTTAAAATATTCCAAGGTGGGTTCAATTTTGACAACTTTGCACTCATTCAATGGATTAGTACATCCTTTGATACATTCTGTTGAATGGTGTTCAAGTCAACAAAGTGATTCATAGTATTTTATTCAATGGACTCGTACATCCTTTGATACATTCTGTTGAATGGGGTGTGACATTCAATTCAACAAAGTGATTCATAGTATTTTATTCAATGGACTGGTACATCCTTTGATACATTCTGTTGAATGGGGTGTGACATTCAAGTCAACAAAGTGATTCATAGTATTTTATTCAATGGACTGGTACATCCTTTGATACATTCTGTTGAATGGGGTGTGACATTCAAGTCAACAACGTGATTCATAGTATTTCATTCAATGGACTCGTACATACTTTGATACATTCTGTTGAATGGGGTGTGACATTCAAGTCAACAAAGTGATTCATAGTATTTTATTCAATGGACTGGTACATCCTTTAATACATTCTGTTGAATGGGTTGTGACATTCAAGTCAACAAAGTGATTCATAGTATTTCATTCAATAGACTGGTACAACAACACTTCCCCTATTGTATAAAGCACTTGTAAGGCCACACCTAGAGTATGCCAATAGCGCATGGGGACCAGGATATGCCCTTTGATACATTCTGTTGAATGGGGTGTGACATTCAAGTCAACAAAGTGATTCATAGTATTTTATTCAATGGACTGGTACATCATTTGATACATTCTGTTGAATGGGGTGTGACATTCAAGTCAACAAAGTGATTCATAGTATTTCATTCAATAGACTGGTACAACAACACTTCCCCTATTGTATAAAGCACTTGTAAGGCCACACCTAGAGTATGCCAATAGCGCATGGGGACCAGGATATGCCCTTTGATACATTCTGTTGAATGGGGTGTGACATTCAAGTCAACAAAGTGATTCATAGTATTTTATTCAATGGACTGGTACATCATTTGATACATTCTGTTGAATGGGGTGTGACATTCAAGTCAACAAAGTGATTCATAGTATTTCATTCAATAGACTGGTACATCATTTGATACATTCTGTTGAATGGGGTGTGACATTCAAGTCATCAAAGTGATTCATAGTATTTCATTCAATAGACTGGTACATCCTTTAATACATTCTGTTGAATGGGTTGTGACATTCAAGGCAACAAAGTGATTCATAGTATTTCATTCAATAGACTGGTACAGTCCTTTAATACATTCTGTTGAATGGGATGTGACATTCAAGTCAACAAAGTGATTCATAGTATTTCATTCAATGGACTGGTACATCACTTGATACATTCTGTTGAATGGAGCGTGACATTTAGGTCAACAAAGTGATTCATAGTATTTCATTCAATAGACTGGTACATCCTTTAATACATTCTGTTGAATGGGTTGTGACATTCAAGTCAACAAAGTGATTCATAGTATTTCATTCAATGGACTGGTACATCATTTGATACATTCTGTTGAATGGGGCGTGATATTTACGTCAACAAAGTGATTCATAGTATTTCATTCAATGTAAATGTTAAAGAAAAGTTGATGCTTTAAATTGAGTAGTAGACAGGGAGTAACTTATTGAGAATGTTATTTGCCAGGCTTCCTGAACTGTTGTTTATATCAATGAGTTAGGGTTGCCATGACCACTGGTCATGCCTTATCTATGAGGTGAATGATTGAAACAGGCCTGGATAGAGTCAACCTTCAAAAAGTCAATAATATGCTTGGTCTATTGGAAATCACCAGGGAACCAAACAAAAGCCTTCTCTTCATTATCATGCCCCCCCCCCCGTCAGTCTGTAGTTGTGTGCAAGTTGGAGAGCACTAGAGATGTGCATACACACGTATACTGTAACATTTTGTGGAATTGCTTTAAAAAGTAGATGGTAATTTGACTGATATTTTCAGAAATCATTTAAAGAAATATTTAACCTTTAATATTTTGGACATCTGGTGAATGTGCTTGATGAGACTAATAGTAGAGACAATTCAGAGCTTGGCAGGAGCCACACACAAACTCATTGCAAGTACATACAATGAAACCTGTATATCTGAACATCTCTTAATGTGAACACTTTTTCTTGGTCCCATCGACTCAGATCTTTAAAAACTCTTGAAATGTGAACACCTGCTAATCCAAACACTTTTGGCCAGTCCAAATTGGCGTTCGGATTAGACAGGTTTCACTGTACATTTTTTAGATTTACTCGAGGATGTTTGATGCTGCATTGTCCTATCATAAAATATAACATAATAGATTTGATTTAATTTATTATTACAAAAGCATAAGCTTTATTTGAGAACTTCCATATTTTACATTCATCCATTTCCATACATTACAACCAGAGCCATCTATGGCAAGTAAACCCCGGAAAGTAAACCTTATTATAACACATAAGCAATATCATACAATGGGTATAGTTATAGAATGCTCAATATTCCCAAGTCTAATAACAAGTACAATATTTATAATAACCTGAGCATTCCATTACCATATACACTTTATGACAGAACATACAGGACTCACTCAAAACCATAATGGTTTACACATAGTTACATATGGACATGCCCTTTCCATTCTAAATAATGTTGAATGGTACTAACATAAAAATAAATACTACAAACTGTATATTGGTTCCCATGGGTACTGGGTTCCCTAAAGTATTTCCAATTCACTCCAAAAAATTATAAAAAATGACAGCATTTCCCAAATCATTTTAAAACAGGCCAAACAAATATTAAGTCAAATGCAAACAAAAAACAGATTTTGTTGTTTTGATGTCACATCACATGTTCATGAATGTGTCAGAATCGGCATACAATGAAAACATGATATTCAAACTGCTTTCGCAACATGGCACCTTCCATTGAGACTCATCAAATAGTCTTTACATCATTATTCATACACATGAAAAAAGATTTCATGTTTTTCTCAATAGATTTTTACTGCATGTTGCCTTTGAACATAGGGTTCAATGTTGTGGCAAAATTGAGGCTAAGATGACATCTCTTTCCTGTTAGTATCAATAGCTGAACCAGGTCTCACTGTTTTTTACCTCCAGTGAATAAAATGCCAATTTTCTTATACTCATTTAATGCCTTTTTCCAGAATTCTATATCAACTGTCTGATCTCCTGGTATTTTCATGTAAATGAAGATTTCAAACATCATGCTTGTTCTTGCATCCTCCATTTTTACCCTTTTAGAATATATGTTCAAAGAAACATGAGAAGTTTGACAAGTTTCTCACAGGGGCAAAAAAACTTCAATGTATTTTTTACATTGAGCCAATATGCAATGGTAATCAAAACAAGGTGTGTGAAAATTGGAACAGACAAGTTCATATTCCTGTTTAAGATTCTCATTTTCAAAAACAGAAGTCTAAATGATTTTATCTGTTCAAGATGCTGATGATTTGAAAAGAATATGCAATTTGAAGCTTTTGAATAAACTAATCAAATCAAAATACTCTACAGTACACATATTTGAATTTGACAGTCTCCAGACCAAAAACTTGGAAACCATTCTTAATCAATTTGCCTTTTCTGAAATTCTGAATTCAGAAATGTGAGTAGATAAGGGATAAGAGTCAGGATCTATTGTCAGTTTTGTGTAATAAAAGAAGAATCCCAAATTCTGGTACCAGTTCAAGGGCAACCAGAACAACGGCAACGCCAAAGCGTAGCGAATCCCATCGAACATTTTTCAAAAGGGAATATTCTACCAAAAGTGTCATTAGACAGTGTGCCATGCTTATAATATTCACATACCAAATATGAACAAAATCACTCCACTTCTTTTCGAGTTATAGTAAAATACGTTAAAATGGCGGCCATTTTGAAAAATGGCCGCCTTCTACCAAAAGTGTCATTAGACAGTGTGCCATGCTTATACGTATTCACGTACCAAATATGAACAAAATCGCTCCACTACTTTTCGAGTTATAGTAAAATAAGTTAAAATGGCAGCCATTTTTCAAAATGTCCGCCATTTTTCAAAATGGCCGCCTTCTACCAAAAGTGTCATTAGACAGTGTGCCATGCTTACAGTATTCACATACCAAATATGAACAAAATCGCTCCACTACTTTTCGAGTTATAGTAAAATACGTTAAAATGGCGGCCATTTTGAAAAATGACCGCCCTCTACCAAAAGTGTCATTAGACATTGTGCCATGCTTATACGTATTCACATACCAAATATGAACAAAATCGCTCCACTACTTTTCGAGTTTTAGTAAAATAAGTTAAAATGGCGGCCATTTTTCAAAATGGCTGCCATGTGCTTTTTTAATATCTACATTTCTAGCTTTATTAATGTCCTATATAATTCTTTTTACATTTAAAACATATTGCTATTACAGTTTTACATATTGCACCTAAATTACTGTAAAGTCGGCACTAAAATGGCCGCCATTTTTAAATGAGCGGACATTTTGAAAATCGGCTTTCGAGCAGAACTTCTACCCCCATAGGGTATATGTGTACAAAATATGAATAAAATCGGGCCAACGGTATTTGAGTTATTGCCCGGACGGACGGACGGACGTACGTACGTACGGA